TATGGAATGTAATATTTAAAAAGAGATTCAGTTCTTTTTCCCATGCTAAATTGACTTACAAATTAGGAAAGGATGGTGATATGGAAAAAATGGGAAAAAGCGGAGATATTGGCTTAGGAGAAATTGATAGATGATGATGATACATTTTTAAAATATACTGTGCTAAGAGCCAAATGTCATCTATCAAATGTAGCATAGAGGCAATATTTACAGGTACAACATTTGTTAACAATACTGTTTGAACAAACAGAATTTTCATTATCTTATCTAATCTCTATTACCTGAGATACTAGAATAACTGTTCACATTTTTTAAAAATAAAAAAAAATGCAATTCGTTTCTATAGATATTAGTCAATCCATTTGATATGCCCATTGTAAGAGAAAAGAATTAGAGGTTTCTATACTGTCTAGACCAGGGGTGTCAAACTTGATTTCACTGAGGGCCATATCAGGGTTGTGTTTGACCTTGTGAGCTCCATTTTCCCTGGCAGAGGCACCATGGGCCAGTCCTTTGCTGTTTCCAGGGCAGCCCTGCGGGCCAGATCTAAGCACCATCCAGCCCGCAGGCCTTGAGTTTGACACCCCTGGTCTAGACAATGGGAAAGTGTCTTAACTTTTGTATTGGAGTGTCATTAAATAAAAATATTCACGACTTAAGATATACTGAGATCAAGAGGAATTAATTTAGGCCCATTAATTTTTAAAAAGTGAATTCTTAGATCCAAGGGAGACAAGGAAGAGGCTCATGTAAACCATGGAAAAGAGTACTTTAGAAGATGCTCCTGGCTGTCTCCACATGCATGTGCACTGCAGGCACTATCACTTTGCTTCATTATTTTCCATTTTTTTTAAAAGGATTTGCATGGTGCTATGTAATATATTATTTTGGCTTGCATGAAAAGGTATCTTCAAGTGATTTACCACAACTACAAGCAGTCTGCCAATAAAGCAATGCACTTAGCAACTTAGTTCATTGTTACGATGGTGCTGAAAAAAGTTATTTATGATCGGTCTTTATACTGATGAGTATTGAAGCATCTCTGCAATTATGCAGTCGTGATTTATGTACTTGATAAAATGCAGGTATTTAAGATGATTGTAATGTAGCGTGGTCATATTATTGTCTTCCCAAAAGTTTCTGATTCATGTAATGAACGCAGGAATAGAAGGTTGTAAAATCGGTTTCAGTCACATATTGATTGATTTATCAACCTCACTGCTTAGTGATGGAGGTTCTGGTACCAATTGTGGACATAAGCTGAGGTCTATGTGAATTAGTAATGAACTCTCTTTCAAAGGAAACAGCTCAATCACAAGTCTGATATTCACCCTTTGGGTCACAGTTGAATTAATTGTCTTCCACAAGTCAATAATTTATGTTTTCTATAAATTCTTGAATTCTGAATGCATTTAAAATGGACTTTAAATCCGTTGTGCCATTTCTTCCAAGAATTGCTAAATGTCAATAAATTATGCATTCGTTTTCTGGATTTCTGAATTATTTTTACTACAAATACTGTACATGTGCATTCTAAGAGATAAGGATAGTTTTTTCCATCCCAGTTGGCTAAGTTTGAGAACATTTTAAGTCATAAACTAATTTATCTTGCATTCTGAACTATGAAAAATGGTGCACATGAAATGCTTATGATCAAGCTGAGAGCCTGAGACAAAGACAATTGAATACAGATTGCATAATAAAAAGGAGGTAGCTATTAGCTTAAAGACATCATTTATAATTATCAGTGTGAGGAAATGTTTCTCAAGAAGATTCAGAGTGGGGAACACAACATTCCCAGATGCTACAATATAACTGATGTACAGTTTAGACCAACAACATGTATACAAAAATATCTTAGTAATTTACAGATTCTCAAGCAGTTCTGACAGCATAAGCCCTATCGGAATGAACAAAGTTTGGGGTATAGGATCACTAAGGATCAGAGCCTTATTAAGATGCATTTACTTGTCCAATTACCAAAACAGCAGGAGATCATTAAATTTTCTAGTTAGCAGACACAGCAATGTTAATTTCTTAATGTTGCCAAGGCTATTTTTTGGCATTTTGCTTCTACACTTTCTTCTAACAAAAATTCATAAAGCAAAAACTAAGCATGAGAAAACAGAGTAGAGGCATTTAAACAGAATACCCTTATCTTGGTGACAGTTATTTGTAGTGTTCAATATTCATGAGAGCATTGAGAAATGACCACCAGACAGGGAATCTTACCCTGTCTCAGGTAGCTCATAGTTAATCAGGAGAATGTTTGGAAGTCACTAAAAAAAGGTGAATTTTTACTATCCTCAATGGAATTTGCAATGTAGTTAGATACAGAAGGATAGGGCTATGATATAAAAGGATAACTTAATGGAATATGTGGGAAAAAGCAGGAAAAAAAATCCATTATTTTTTTTCACACCTTCCCCACACAAACGGCAATCATTTTTATATCCAACTTCTAAGTTGGATTGTCGTTGTAGAATGCTGGTCTAAAAGAACTGATCCTGTAATTCATCATTTTTATGTTCAGAAATATGATACATGTTACAACATAGCCTTTTGCTTCTTTCTATGTCCATCTCCTTCTACAGTACAAGTTGGTATTCAACATACCAAATGAACACCTGCTCCCAAGCAAGTCATTTTAATCCCTCACCTATATTTCATAGTCCTGCAATCATCCAGTTACAATCTGGTTCTAAATCAACCTAAATCCTTCTCTTGACTGGATGTACTGTATTCTCCTCAGTTAAATTGATTTTAACTGCTATTTTGAAACGGAAGGGTACGAAATAGATGCCTTTTCCTTATCCTTGTTTATTTAAGCTGCTATTGGATTTGACTAATTAAAGGGATTTTTAGAATCGTAATACTCTAAACAAAACAAACTGGTTTTGAATTATTAAGCAACATTTTAAATGCATTTGAATAACCTTAAGTAACTTAGGTGCCAACTGATCCTAAGCTACAGCTCAGATAAATAAACGTGAAATACTGTAGAAGTCTTAACTTACTAAGGCCTCCAGATACAGTAAATAAAGAGCTTAAGTCTTCGGTATATAGTACTCCCAAATAAGTGGATTTCATTGCTTGCATTTAAAAGAGGGAATGCGGCACAGAAAAAGAAATACAAGGTTTAATTTTGATTACAAAAGAAACTTGCAGGTGCAGGCTGTTAAGACATGCCAATGCTCTTGTGAGATGTTAAGGGCCTCTTGTCTTGTGTTTCAAATGCCATGCCATTCAAAACCCATGCCATAACTCTTTTCAAGTAGTTATCAGAAATCTTGCCATTAAAGGATATCACTAGAAAAATCCAAAAGAAACAATCAAGTAATACCTTTAGAAGGAGAAACTAAAAGTTCATGAAGTAGTGAATAAGCTGCAAAGTTTTCAAAACCTTGTTCACTTTCTGTCTTTTCATTTGGTCCCAATAAAGATATTATCTTGGTGAGTATTGGGCAACTATGGCAACTTTATGACCCGTGGACTTCAATTTCCAGAATTCCTAAGCCAACCCTGTTGACTCAGGAATTCTGGGAGTCCAATCTAATCTAATCAAATCAAAGTCCACAGGTCATACAGTCGCCATAATTGCCCACTCCTAATTTTGGCCTTTCTTTTGTACTTTGTCCTATATGTGTCAAGTGTAGCATCTGTTATGCTTGTCTGATTATTATATTTATTTATATAATTTGAAAGTAATCCCACAGAAAGGTTTCTTTCATTACATATGTCAATCTAAGCAATCCCATTCCATTTTTCAAATATATCCATCATCACTTGGAGATCTCCCTGAGATAGAGGCTAATTCCTAGGACCTCTCTACCAACTCCATGCAGGTGGCTGCTTCAGAGATCAGTCTGCTGTTTTGGTACTGACAAAATAAAGATGAATCCAAGAATTGTAGGAACCAAAGTTGATGTAGCAGCAACAGCTGTTTTGCAAATGCATTCTCGGTTGAGATGAATGGTTCCTCCTACCATGTTTGGTGAATGATTGACAGTTATTTGGTTGTTAAGCCAGGTTAAAGTGCCATTCACCATCCTTGAGCTAAGAGAAAACATGTTATTCTCCTGGTGATCAATATTCCACTACAGATATAAGGTAGGCAAATGGCATTATTCTGATGTAAGATGAATAAGGCTATTAAGGTCAAGGATTGGTGGATGCCCTTGGGTTTGGTTCTCTCCATTCATCAGGATCTAGTGAGAAAGCATCCAAAACTATTGATAAAAATAATTAATAAAATAAACTGCTACTAGTAGCAATCTATTTGATTTGCATCCTTCCATGCTGCTGTGAACACGCAAGTTAATATTGTCTTATGATAAATAGATTTGTTTGAGAGCCAATACAGACAGAATAACAGTGTTAGAAGGGACCTTGGAGGTCTTCTAGTCCAACCCCTTACCATTGCAGACAAATGGTTGTCCAATCTCTTCTTAAAAATCTCCAATGTTGGAGGACCCACAATTTCTGAAGGCAAGGTTCCACTGATCAACTGTTCTCAAAAGTTAAATACAAGGGCTATTATAGAATAATCTAATCAAACAGCAAACTGTTTTGTTTTGACATTGAGAAGCTGGTTCTCACATTCAAATCTTGAAACAGTTATACAAGAATCCTCAGATTGGTTCTTAGTTATGGACAGACACATGTGGAGCCCTAAATATCAGAGCACAGATCTAGGAGCTGTACAAGTACAAGGTGGGAAATATTCGAAAAGAATATCTTGAAAATTAGTGAAGCTGAATGTGGATCCTGAAATAAGCCTATCTCTCCTGCTCAGTGCAGAAGCTGATTTATAGGATGTGCTGTTGCATCTCTCTGAGATGGCCAGAGAGTTGCAACAGCGCATCCTATAAACCAGCTTCCGCACTGAGCAGGAGAGATAGGCTTATTTCAGGATCCACATTCAGCTTCACCATCCTAAGCATGAACTATAATTGGGTAAAGGAATGGAAAAAGTATTCTAAACACATTTATTTACTTACATCTCTCCTGGGAAAAGTCCCTAGTAGCTTGAACTCCTCCCAAGGGTAACCCTTGGAAGCTACAAAATCAAAGACGACCTGCAGCTTGCTACTGGCCAGGAAACGCCGTTCAAAGAATTCTCCACTGGGTGTTCGGATACGTAGCTTACTAACTGATTCAGTGCTCTCCTGCTTGGGTTCAGGAGGCAATGCCTGCTCTAAAGAGAGCCTTATAGCCTGAGGAAAGAAAGAAAGAAAGAACAAGTCATGTAGAGATCAGTAGCTACTTCATTGTTAATTCTATTATTTTGTAAATAAGAATGGCATTATAAAAAAATAGGCTGACAAGAGTATGCTTTGATTAATTTTTTGCTCATAAGCCTGCCAGAGGCTAAATTGGATAATTTCTCCAAAATGGTGGATTTCTTTCATTTGCATTAAGCTCTCTAGGTTTCTGAGAGAGAAAGTTACCTCTTCTTGACTCAAATTTTGTAGCAATATCAAATTTCACACTATCAGGTTTTTTAAAATTCTGTTCATTTTGAGGGCTGAAAAAGAATCTATGCTTTTACATATTAGCCATTCCATCTCTTAACAAGAGAAGGGCATGAGTTGGCTCATTGACCCATTCTCCCTGTCTTTTACAGAGATTTAAACCTAGGAAATAAAATTTGAGATGATCATTTCTAACATTCTATAAATGGCTACTAGCTTTAAAAAAGCTTTCTAAATGATGATTGGCAGGCCTCACCCTCACCTTAACTGTCTTTATTTAAAATAGTTTATATTTCCACATTAAAATGTGCCTATGCAGTGATAGTAGAAGATTTTGCTTTGTTATGAATATTGCCCAGCACTGATACTTAAATGACACTACTAGATAAAACAATTTATGATACTGGTCATGATCACACAAACAAAGTCTTAACCCTTTAAATATGCAAACACATATACAAAATGGACAGAGCTTTGCATGATCTTGACTGCCATCTTTACTTTGATTCATGATTGCCATAAGATAACTGGGAAAGATTCTTCTCTTTGCCTAGATAAAGTATAGGGTAAACTCCTTTCTTTTTATTTATAAAAATTCTTTTGTTTAAGTTCTTTTTTCTTTGTTAAAGAAAAAAATGTTCTCCAAGTATTAGGCTGTCTTCCTGTTTTTGAAGTCCATTTCCACACAACAGTTCTATAATTTACATCTCAATAACATATTCATCTTTATCCATTTCTTAATAACAGCTAAAAACAACTAATTAAAATAAATCCTTCTCTTATAACACATATTAAACCAATAATTTATTGCATAGCAATGATAGGTAATTTAATTGTTGGACAAAAGGACTTAGGAAATCTTGATTGAGTGAATAATTGCAAAGTGCCAAATTGCCCTTTAAAGCATCAAAATCAAAACCATTAAATATTTAGACAGATATATTAATTTATTAAAATCCTGTAACCTTCTCAAATATTTTTTTTAAGAAGAGAGCAAAGTTCTCAACATCTAATTTCTCTATACATAAATTTGCTCCAAAATGGGTTACCTAGTTATGAAAATATATATCAATGAAATAACTTCAAGTCAAACTGTTCTCTTACTGCTTTCAAAACAAATACATTTCTTTAAAATATTATGTGTTTTGCCCATTTTTTTCCAGATTCCTCTGGTGAGCTAGATTTTGACATATTCATTCTTAATAGCGGGATCTTTGAAATCAAGCAATGGATCTTTAATAACTTAGGCTTGATTGATCTTCAAATATGGTTAAAACTGGATTCAATTAATTTAAAATTGGGACATACTTAGATTTGAAAATGAAAAGTTAGTGTTATTAAGAACAGTAAAAAATTAACAGGACAAACATAAACACAAGCAAAAAAGTGTACAAATCAGTATGCCCAAAAGTTATATGGACATACTATAGATTAGAACTTTTGTCTTTTCACCTCCATGTTTTTGATGTTTTTAAGCTCCAAAAATCACATTGTTCAAAGAAATACCTAAGAACAAGAACCCAGAACAACTGTAGAAAATATACTCTGCAAAAGTTTTATATATATCATCTCAAATGGGTCAACAAACAACAAATAATGTACATCCGGTCTGGGAGGTTAATGTGTTGCTATAAGGCAGGCATCATTTGCATTACACACATTCAATAGTTGACATTAAGGAAGGAGAGAAAGGAGATGCAGGGCAAAAAAGCAAGAATAAAACTAAAATTGTTACAAGATGCAAGAATAAGAGGAGGGTTTGCCTTGCCTAGCTGGGAGTTGTATTACCAAGCAACAAATCTGATGTGGGTAAAGGAATGGATAACATTAAGAAACAATAGACTATTGACCTTAGAAGGGCATGACTTGCTGTTGGGTTGGCATGCCTTCCTTTGGTATAAGGGAACTAAAACACAAGGGTATTTTAGAAGACATTATATTCGAGAGGCATTGTTTGTGAACTGGGAGAAGATAAAAAGACAATATTGTTTAAAAATTCCATTATGGATATCTACCATTGAAGCTTTTTCTTATCCAATAATATATAAAAAGGAACAAGCAGTTAGATATGGTGAGATATTGAATGAAAAGGGTGAACTTAAATCTATGCAAGCGTTGGAAGAACAAGGTGTAAAAATGAACTGGTTTTCATATTTGCAAATACAATCTAGATTTGATAAAGATTTCAAAACAGAAGGTATCTATGATAAGTTGACTGATTTAGATAAAAATTTGATGGGTACCGATGAATAGGTAATTAAAAAACTTTATGGACACTTATTAGAATTTAAATTGGAGGAAGAACAAGTTAAAGAAAGGATGATTGCTTGGGAAAAAATTTTTGGATATGGGATTGATTTAGAAAAATGGCAAAAATTGTGGCCTCAAAATTATAAAATGACAATGTCAACTGCATATAAAGAAAATCTGTATAAGATGTTTTTACAGGTAGCATCTACCACCGATGAGAATTGCGAGAATGTTTAAGAACAAATCGGATAAATGTTGGAAATGTCATCAGATACCTGGTTCATATTACCATATGTGGTGGACGCAAAGAAATGTTGGACTAAAAATCACACATGGTTGGAAAAAATGATAAAACAACATATAGACTTTAAACCAGAGATTTTTTTATTGGGGATAATACCGGAAATATACAACAAAGAGTTGAAATATTTGATTGTAAATCTATTAACAGCGGCTAGGATTGTATTTGCTAAGAATTGGAAAAACGATAAAATACCTATGTAGGAGAAAGTTATTAAGAAAATTATGGACTGTGCTGAAATGAGTAAATTGACATTTGAAATTAGAGAACAAGAAGATAAACAATTTTATATGATATTGGATTTGTTTTATCAATGGTTGGATAAAAAAGTATGGTAATATAATAGACTAGATAATTTTGTGATAGAAATTTAATAGATTGATATAAAACATAATAAAGACATATATAACCACTGGTTGAAAGTATAGCATAAATTTTAAGATAAAACTTGGAACATCTCGTATAAAATGATGGAATAAATAGTTTAGTCATGGATGATTAATAACTGATAAATATATAAGCATATGTTAGTTCGACAATGTGAAAACTGATATAAATTGTGAGTAAATGATTACAAAAGGATAGCACAAAAGATTTGCAACCAACTGATACACTGTATGCATATAAAATGGAAGATGTTTTTATGTTTTTATGTTTTGTATGTGTATGTTTGTTTTTAAAAATAAAAATTCTTTAAAAAAAAAGGAGCTATGTAAAGGAACCCAGTTTCCAGAAAACAGCTTTCTGTTTGCTCATAAGTTCAGTCAATAAACAGGGAAGTTTTCATGGGAAATTGGTAGAGTAATCAGAAGAGGAAGCTTAAAGAGAAATGGGGAGTGAGGGAATCATGATGTGTACAATGTTTCTTTTCCCGGCTGAAGAAGATCCAAAATACACTTTCAAGTGCAATTTTGTTTTCTTGAAAGAGAGAGTTAAAGGGCTTAAAGCAAATGTTTCCACACCACAACACATCAGTGGAAATGAGAAATTCCTGGACAGGATAATGGACACACAGAAGAGCTAGAAAAGTGAATAAATAGATGGGGTGGTGGTGGTGGTGAACTTTGGCAAAGACAACAGCTCATGTGACCAAAAGAGGAAAAAGGATTAGGAGGCACCCAAGGGTAATTATGATTCACCCTATAAAAGACGATCCACAATTACATGAGCAAACCTTGCTAAAGAACACTAGGGAAAACATATAGTCCCTCCATGGACGTAAGCCAAGAACCTTCTTGAAAAGAAGTGTCTAGTGATGGTGGGTGGTTCTCCACTGAATTGAATTGGGCAGCTACCTGAAATCCCAATGATGTCAGGAGATGAAATTCTTGTAAGCCCTATCTATCCACCTCAGTAAATCTTGCTAATGAGAACCCCAAGAAAGCACACTTGGAAAAGGATCACCTTTAATTTAGGCAGCTGCCAAAGAACTTGACATAAGGCTTACAAAAGAGACCCACACCCACACCCTCAAAACCAACAAAAATGAGTTATTTGGATATGTTAGCAATAAAGCCAAAGAGGTTGTAGGTCCATTGAGAGAAAAAAAAAGTTGTGAATAGTTAATAGGTTAATCACAGAACACTTGCAGTAATTTTTGAGAGAAGACAAGCAAGATTCCAGAAACTTGGAAGTCAGAAAATATCATCCCTGCTTTCAAAAGTAGGGAGAAAGAGAATCTAAAAAAATTATAGACTTGCCAGCATGACATCTATAATGGACAATTTCAGACTTGTCATCAACAGAATGCAAAGTAACTTAAAAACCTTGAGCCTTAATTGGCTTCTCATAAATCTCTCTGTAGAGACCAAGTCTGAAATACTAGTAAAGGGATCAGGCTAGAAACCAAAAGACTGTGAGACGCAAATCCAGCTGGGTGACCATGGGCCAGTCACTCTCTCAGCCACAGAGACCAAGCAATGGCAAACCATTTCTGAAATTTTGTCAAGAAAACTACAAGCAGGTTCAAAAGAGATTCAAACAGATCACAGGAGCCATATCATAATGAATTTAAGAATGAATGTGCTAGAGTTTAGGCTTATTTGACTCCAAGATTCTATATACCAATTTTCTTCATGATACAATACAGTTAACAAGATTCATTGTAAATCTTTCTTTCTGGATTTTCCTCCAATGTTATAAGTTTGACACTCTCAGTAGTCAAGGCAAAAATAACCACACGTAAGCACTGGCTAGGGAGGCATAAATAATGGCTTGAATCGATCTGAAAAATCGTATCTTATATCGTATATCATAATTTAATCTATATACAGTATTTATAATAGGGAGCCAATTTGATTAATGGTTAAGATGCCTATGAGGAAAATACTTAACAAGAGTATTGGGTATGTTTGCTGCCCCATGTTGCATATAAAAAAGATGAGAATAATAGTAATGTGATCCATCTATAAATTGTAACAAGCAGATCAGTTTGCAAGCTGCACGGAATTTAAGACAGATACCAGGTTATTAAAGAAACAGTCTATGTCTCAAGAATCAGACGAATTCACAGCAGGCAGTTCAACGTTAAAGCTGATGCTACCCATAAGACAAGGAACATTAGGTTGCAGGAATTCAGGGCAGGATGCAAGAGCATTGTTTCTAACCAGGGAGAAGGTCTGGAGGATGATGTTATATAGCTCATGGCTTTATTTAATTAGGGGAATTAATGCCTTCGCCTTTCAAAGAGCTGTCCAGAACTTCACTGCTGAGCTACAGTATGTTTAGCTGATGGTGCATTCTGGGATTTGGCACTCTCCCAAGCTCAGCATCTAATCTTAAGTTAGCAGACAACTGTCTTGCATCTGAATCAATTCTGAAAAGGGACTGACAGCTACTGGTGATTCTCTTCAGCCTCAAATCAAGCCATAATAAACAGCATGTTTGTGAGCCCTTGGATGAACATACTACAATTCAAAGGATCTAGCACTGGCTTGTTGCAAACAAATCATGTCAGAGTAATCTTCTTTTCTTGAGTTACTAGCTTAGTTAGAACAGAAAAATTTCATAAATCTGAGTGCAGCTAAATGCAGCTCAAGAAAAGCCTCTGATAAACTTTCTCATGATATTCTCCTTAACAAAATGGTAAAATAGAGGCTAGATGATAGTAATTAAACAGATTCACAATTGGCTGAATGTACATTGGTTCAGGCTAAATGTCAGGATAAATTTCCTGATTGTATGAAGTATCAGATGGGGAACATTATTGCCACATGAAGTGCTCACCACTTCATGTGGCAATAATGTTCCCCATCTGATACTTAACTGGAGAATTTCAAACAGAGGCTGGATAGTCATCTGTCACAGAAATGCTCTAGTAGATATAACAGCATTGAACAAGAACTAGACCAGATGAAATTGAAAATAGTACATACACTTAAATATTTTATTATTTTTTCATTTACCTGTACATGGACTTCTTTTAATCTTTTATAAATGGATGAATGTTGTTATCCTTTTCTATTTTCTCTTCTGAGGCACCTGCTTTCTATCACTGTATTTTGACATTTACCAATACTGTATAACAAATGCAATAGTATTTACTGAACCCAAGCAATTATACCAGAAAAAACAAACAGCAGCTTAGCACGATCTGCTTTTATTATGTAAAGAATAACTTCCCCTCCAAAGTAACTAGTCTCTAAAGCTTCAGTGCAAAATAGATGTTTACAATGGATATTCCATATCAGCGAACACACTTAAAGAACAATAAATGAATAGTAATATGAACAATTCTTGGATCTGCACTGCAGATATAAAAAGAGATGATTCATTATGTGGATAGATGAATGACCAGCTATTAAAAGAAGCTGAATGAAAGAACATCATATAAGCAAACTGTTGTATAGCAATAGACTATAGGTAATATGTATATATAAGGAGTGTTTGTACACAGTTTGTGAATGATGTTTTTGTTCTGATGTATAAATATATCTTTTTTCCCTGTTACAGCTATTTGCACTGAGAAGCAGTTCAATTACAGGTACAAATGTAGACTTCCTTTGCAGCTTTCTATGAAAAAAAAACTCTCAAAGGACATTCTATCCAAATGCTGGTTAATAGCATAATTTTTGCTCCAACAAAATTATACAAGAGTAAAATTATCCTACGCCTATATTGACCTGAGGTGAGACTGACCCCAATGTTGTTAGCATTCTAGAAGATTAGGAAATCATGGGTTGCCATCAGATCTGAGGATCTGGTAATGTTGGTGACTAAATGACTATGTAGGAAAATAAATGAATTCTTCAGAAGACTGTGTTTGAATTGTTTTAAATGCTTTTATAAAATGTTTGAATGATTTCTGTGGTTACTTTGGTTATTCTTGTACTGTTTGGGGGCCTTTTTAATCTTATAAGCCTCCCAGGGTCATGACAGTCAGATGGGTAGGCATATAGTAATGTAAGTAAGCAAGTAAGTAAATAAGGGCAGTAAGAGAAAGAGGATAATGAACAGAAATATTAAAATAGGGAGAAACTGAAAAAGTAAAAAAAAATATTCAAAACCTCTTTGGAAGAGAGCATCTGAAATATGATTGTGGGTGATATTGATGAAAAAATTAGCTTGGATACTCATTTCTCCTTTGCCACCATTCCCAGGGAATGGTGGGCAAGAATGATGAAACTTGCATGATGATGGAAGCAAAAAGACTTATGAACTTGTATGCAACATCACAATACAAGTTCAAAAAGATTCACATCATGATGTTACAATGTGCAGTTTATAACATCACACTTTATACCAGAAACCTATGTTTTCCTTCTGGTAGAAAACATCTGAAAACATTTTGTTTTCAACAAAAAACATTGGAATTACAGCGAGTAGCTTCTCCTTGCTTTACACCTTACACAGCTGTTATTCTACAGTTGAGTAAAAAATTAAACTCACTTACTTCACGCTCTTCCTCCTGTTCTTTTCTAATCTGTTCCAAGCGAAACTGCTCTGCAATTTCTCTTTCTTGTGCTTCCCTCTGCAGAACAAGTGATAAATTAAACAGAAACAGAACAGACAGAATTCAAACAGAATTTATCATTTCTATATTTGAATGGTTTACATTTCTTCACAGACACAATACCAATGATTCAGAAAAATATATTTTTTATATCTGATTCTCTCTATTGAAAATGATCTTTCTTTTAGACTCTAAAACTACAGTATTCAGACTCTTTAAAAAATAATGAACAATCTAATATTATTCCCACCATGCTGGAAAATAACCATGAGCCTTATAGGCAAGCCCTGCCAGTGAGAAAAGCATGCATTTTTGGCATCCTTCGGTAAGTCAAACCAAGCATAATGGAAGTCAAAGCAGCATGATCAAAACCATGGATGCTGCTATACAATTTGCCAGAGTGAATTCTTCAAAATCTCTCTCTTTATCTCTACTCTACCTGAGAGATAATACCCAATCAGGAAATCTTCTTAAATGCAGGATCTCACTTTGCACATACTAAATATTTCCTAAGAGAACTTGGTCTCCCAAACAACATATTTCATAGTTCTAATAGTCTGCATAATTTTAAGATCCTCCTCCCATGTTGCCACTGAAGTGGAATCATTTTTATTAATAATTTGTATTTGGAACTCTGTATTTTGATATGGTCTATGGGCTAATCAATAAACTAAACTATTAACTGAACTGGAATCATGTAACTTGCCTTATTTTTACTCCAAGCATTAATCCAACTATCATTAAATTTTTAATAATATTAGATATGATTCTATCATTACTTTTACTTTATTTCTTCTATATGCACGTATTTTTGAGTTCTTTCCCTGTTTGCATTATTGTGGCAGGACTGAACATTATTAGGTTGATTGAGAAAATCAACAGAGGGAGACAATTTTGGATATCATGGAAAGGTAGTAAAGAATTGATTTATTTCTTACTATTGTATTTTTCTACGGTTAAAGTGAAACTAACATTCATATCAAAGGTGATATCAAAGTAAGTATTTTCTGAGAATTTGGGGGATACGTAAGATACATACCATGATAGATTGAAAGCAGCAGAAGGTTGCAGTCTTGTTTTTATTAAAAGAATAACATGGTTCTTTTTCTAGTAACGCTATAATGATTAGCTGAGAAAAGTAGTGCCAAAAGCAATTGCAGCGAAGCAACTTTCACCACTGAAACAGATTCTGTCCAGAAGGAATGACACAATATTATGAGAGTTCTCCAAAAGGAAAACCATGTTTCTCAGAATGTCAATGTGCTGGACACTTTACCTCATCGTCACAAGTGTAAGAGGGCATTGGTGGCTCTTTGAGAAGGGTTAGGAAAGGGACCAAACCCTGGTGATAAAACATGATCTGATTTGGATTAATAATTAGCAAATCTATTTCTTAAGACTAGTCTTAAACATTGCATGTTTTGTAATGACAGACACATACTTTTGCTCTGTCAGCTTCCAGAGAGATTCGGTAAGCTTCATCCTGTTCTCTCTTCACATTTTCTCGGGCCTCGCGTTCATCCTGGGATAGGAAAAAGATAGGTAGATAAAAAAAACTAGCTTGGTATTTCAAAATCAGTATTCACCCAGGTACAAATAACTGTTTTGGAATACCTACCTGTCCTTTGTTTACAGTATACTAACATTTGGGGAACACAGGTTGAAAGAAAGGAACTGGATAGTCAGTACAGTGTAAGAAATCATTTTTCTGGATATTTGATGCAGGTTTTAAAAGGACACATTAGATTATTTCACATTAAGGAATTTCTCTACCTTGATTTTGACACAACTCCAATCTTTTACTTTGGTATTAACTAGTACACTTTTTTGATGTAAACAAAATTGGTTATCACCAAATCTTAGAGATGGAATCTGGAAGTTCCCAACTAACTCCTACTACGTGAACCGTATCTATACTGAACTTGAATATCCCTGATGGACTGTCAGCCACTGTTTACCTCCAATAAGGAGAATCAATTACCCCAACGAGAAGAATGGCCAACAATGCTGCTTCCTCCCAACCTCCTTTGGCTGTTGATAATTTGTCATTGCTGATATTTTCTTTCCTGGTAAATGCATTGCTCTGCTACAATAATACCATAGCATGCTCTGGCTCCCAGAATCACTTAGCAGATGAACAGCATATACTGTTGTAAATAAATACAGTAACATCTTTAACTATAAAACAAGGTGAAGCTATCTGGAATGCACACTGATCTCAAAGCATAGTCTGAGAAAAGCATCAGAGAGGAGAAAGGTTGGATGGTCCTAAGAATCATATATGTATATCCATTCCAATACCCTGTTTAAAAATAATGTTACATGAGGCACTGGAGATAAATGTAGTGATCCTTGGAAGGTCAGTATACCCGCAGCTTTGCCTTCGGTAACTCTCTGCCCAAAAGAGAGTGGCTGCCAAGATAAACACCGGTGCTTTAAGACTGAACTCTAAGAAAAGTTGTCTAGTGTGATCATACAAAATTAAGACACTTGCACATGCATACATACAACAAAATCATAAAATAAATCAATAAAAAGAGAATAATATGTGTAAGCGAAAATACTTTTTTTTCTTAACTCTGGAACATAAATTCTGTACAGTAGGTGCCAAATAAGCCATCTTAGGGATAATATTCCAGATGGAGAGACTGACAATTCAGGAGGTCTTTACTATAGTTATCGGCCCAAGTTTAGTTAGGGTAGGGCAATCAAACTCAGCCATCATTAAAACAAAACTTCCAATTCAATCAACCAAGATCTGCTTCATTATCTATTTATTGGCTTAAAGGAATGAGACAAAAAAGTTTTTTTTCTTTTGAAAACATTTGGATTTCATGCAGTATTCCTATTAATGACTGCACATGGTTTGGCTTTGTACTGAATTTTTGTTGCTATGCCCATTGATTTTTTTAAAAAAAGTTGATTTTATTTTTATTCTCACTGGAAATATTTTATTATTCACCTTCTAAGTCCCACTGAGAACCAGTAATATGAAATTGGAAACTTGGGGAAATTAAGACAAACCTCTGCTCAGCTTTCAAACAAAAATATCTTGTTTTAAATATGCATCCAGAACTCTGAACTCAATGAGGAAAAATAAATAAACATTTGAACTAAGTGAGGAGTAAAAAGTTTAAGGGGAGGGGGAACACATTTAGAGGCATTGGAGCTCCAAATTTATCCCAACTGGAGATAATATTGACAGATGATTTTCTTTTTCAGGCCAACAATTCAACATTTCAGGAGTTCCTCTAGATTTAATTCTTCCATTTTTGGCATTATTCTTTAGTAAAACAGATCCAAAGGGGATGTCAGGAATGTAAAAATATATTATGCATGACTGCCTTGCTATAGCACAAAGATGTGAAATGACACCGCTGAACTCAATTTTAAGTTAACAGTTTCTTACTCAGAGGTACTTTCTCATTAAGTTCATTGTTAGATAATTGAACATTTATTCAAGTCAGAATTATCTATCTAAAATATTTGTATAATTTTTTAAAGGTATGTTTTAATTAAGGTTAGCATTGCACTGCAGCACAAGCAATTTACAGTGCAAGACTTCATCATTATACAACAAGATTACAGACAAAATGGTGATACTCTTTTGTACATGCAAAAATAAATATTTGCATACCACATGAACAAGCTTTCCTTCCAAAGTCCCTTAGTCCCTTGGAGCTTTAGTAAAGGACATATCTCTTCCACTGAGTCTTTACAGTAACAGAGTAAAGCCACCTCTAGTAAAGTTATGCAGCAGCTCTTTGCTTTTTTCCTTTTTATCATCTTCATATGCCATATAGATGGCATTAATCCACTACAAGTTTCATCACTTTTGCTGTATAATTGAGCCATTTTTAAAAAACATATTTTCAGTAGAGCTTAAAAACATTGGTAAATCAATGCATAGCAACAGTCTCTCTTTTTAAGATACAGGAGCAAGTTGTGAAGTATTAAACTAGAATCCAAATTCTTCAAAAATTGGCTTTTTATGGTGGTTATCTTTTCATTTCAAGCAAGCCATAGGCACCTGAGATGTAGTGACCTGTACATGGGAAGAGTTATTTGCTGTGATCCTACCAGGGCTTTGGAACTCCCAATTGAGGATAAAGCAGTTGACTACTTCATGCATTTTACCATCATCTGAAGACGCTTATTATAGCTACCTTTTGACCTTCCAATTTCCTAATGTGATTTCAAATTACACCATCTCTTGGTTTGTGAATAGATTTTCCTTCTTGTTTTTTGCTTCAGTTATTTTTTAGGGGCTGAAAATACTGAGCACAATGCTAACTACCTTAATTTGGGTAAAAACGGGAAGATGTAATGCAGTAATATGGATTACAACAAAGAAAACAAGGAAGCGACCACGCCAGAAGAGGAGATGAGGTAAATGAGCGGGAATTTTAAACAGACTAAGGAATGGGGGGAAAAACTCCTCTCCCTTCAATCTTTCTAATTTACGCTCACTGGCTTACAAGATGGATGAAATTCATCTCTTAAATAGATGGAATTCTGATTTTCATAACTCAGCTGTTCTTTGTTTTACTGAAATCTGGCTTAATCCACAAATTCATAGGGACAACACCATATATGGGGACAACACCAGGATTTCAGACATTTAGATCAGACAGAATTGAAGAGACATCAGGTAAAACAAAGGGTGAAGGATTATGTTTATATATCAACAACAGCTGGTCTCAGGATATAACTATAATATATAAGTTTTGTGATGAAAACTTACAGTCTTTACACATCAACTGCAAGCCATTTTACTCTCCACGTGAGTTCTCCTCATTTCTCCTAATAGCTGTGTATGTTCCTCCATAAGCCTGTGTAAACAAGGCATTATGAACTCTTGCTGGAGTTTTGCTTGCTCAAATTATGGAGGCTGAAGCCAAACACCCAGGTTCCCTTCCCATCATTTTAGGAGATTTCAATCAAGCAAATTTAAGGAAAGAGCTCCCAAAATATTTTCAGCATGTAAATTGTCGCATCAGAGGCAAAAATACTTTAGACCACTGCTACACAACAGTAAGAGTTGCTTATAGGTCTTTACCACAAGCAGCTGTGGGACACTCTGACCACTGCATGATTCACCTTGTACCTGCCTACAGACAAAGACTTAAAACCATTAAACCAACAATTAAATCAGTGAAGACTTGGTCGGATGAGGCAAAGCTGAAACTCCAGGCCTGCCTTGATTGCACTGATTGGAATGTTTTTGAAGATGCCTCTGCAGACATAGTTGAGCTCACAGATACTGTAACATCATATGTTAGCTTCTGTGAAGACTTATGTGTACCAGCAAGGAACCTGCAAATATATAGTAACAATAAACCTTGGTTCACAGCTAAACTTAAGCAGCTACGTCATTCCAAAGAGGAAGCCTACAGAAAAGGTGACAGAATGCTATACAACCAGGCCAGAAACATATTAACAAGAGAGATCAGAGCAGCAAAAAGAAGCTACTCTGAAAAGTTAAAGAATCAATTCTCAACAAATGAACCAGCAAACATGTGGAAAACTCTTAAAAACATCACTGGCTTTAGCAAACCTCCTTCCCAGGCAGAAGGAAATCAACAACTAGCAGATGACCTGAATGTGTTTTACTGCAGGTTTGAAAAGAAACTACAGCCACCTATCTCCACAACCCACATCTCAAACACACCAACAACAGCCAAGCCTCCTACAACTGGCCCCAATCCATTGGGCTCACAACCTCTGGTAATCACAGGAAAAGAAGTGCAAGATCTATTTCACAGACAAAAGCCAGGAAAAGCACCAGGACCAGACAAGATAACTCCTTCTTGCTTAAAAGTCTGTGCTGACCAATTGGCCCCCATCTTCACCCGAAGCTTCAATAGATCACTAGAGATGTGCTATGTTCCTTCCTGCTTCAAACGTTCTACCATCATCCCAGTGCCAAAAAAGTCCTCCATCAAGGAACTGAATGACTACAGACCAGTTGCTCTAACATCTGTAGTTATGAAAATCTTTGAAAGGCTTGTGCTGTCCCACTTGAAAACCATCACGGATCCGCTGTTAAATCCCATGCAGTTTGCATACCGAGTAAATAGATCGACAGATGATGCTGTTAACATGGCTCTGCATTACATCCTACAACACCTTGAATCTCCAAATACCTACGCAAAGGTCCTCTTTGTAGACTTCAGTTCAGCATTCAATACCATCATTCCAGACACTCTTCTAAGTAAATTAAACCAACTAGCAGTACCTGAACACACTTGTAAGTGGATCATAAGCTTCCTAACAGACAAGAAGCAGCAGGTGAAGCTAGGCAGAATCACATCCGATACCTGTACAATCAGCACAGGCCCCCCCCAAGGCTGTGTGCTATCTCCTCTTCTCCCTATATACCAATGACTGCATCTCAAACGATCCATCTGTTAAAATACTGAAGTTTGCTGATGACACAACAGTGATTGGTCTCATTCGAGACAATGATGAATCTGCATACAGACACGAGGTTATACAACTTGCCTGGTGTAACCGGAACAA